GTTGGGTAACCATCTTTGTCCAAGATATCATCCCCTTCCCGCGTAACCCACCGGGCAGGATGGAAGCTATCGACAAACCGGCAAAGTGCGGCGTACGCCTCCTCGTCTTCCGAGCACATGTCCCCGGCAGCAATGTGGTAATAACCAGTCCCATGCTCGTAATGCCGGGACATCCAGTGCACAGGGACTTTAGTCGTACGAGCCAACACAGGGTTCCCATCGTCGCCCAAAACCGCCTCCCCGTCCTCGTCGCTCAGCGGCTCCTCCTCCTCGAACAGAGTACTTAAAGCAGAGGTGGTAACTGGCCGCACCACGTACCACTTGTCTTTAAAACCCCTCACGGAGTCCATATACATTTTGAAGAGTCTCCTCGACTGCTTCAGGGAGACCCAGCTATGTTTCCCTCCTCGGGACTGGCGCTGCAGGTGAAAAATCCGGAAGAAGAGCGGTATGGTCGCCCCGATCCTCAAGTAGCGACACGTCAACTAAAACGCCCGGATGAAAGCGAGCGAGTTTGGATGTAGCTGGGACGGGGCCAGCTCCAGGTGAGTGAAGACCCCGACCTGGAAATCAGTGAAGGGCAGCCGCAGCCCTAGATCTTTGAACGCGATCTCATACATCGCGAAGCTGTATTCCGGATAAACCGAGCAGATCCTTGCACGGGATGACGGGCGCATGACTACAAAGTTCTTTTGGAAGTCGGGCTGGCCCTGGCCCGCTTCAATGACAGCATACGGATCCCGGTCGCCCCGACTGTAGACCGATGCGATCCCTCGGGGCTCGGCGCCCACCCAATCCAGCAAAGGGTCAGTCACAGTATCAATCAGGTTGACCGACTCGTCGGCACTTTGTTCTTCACGATCGTGACGCCCGAAGGAGCTCGGCTCGTCCGCCATGGTTACCTGCAGAGCACGGAAAACCAGTCAATTGAGCACGAAGCCATACGCTCGACAAATCACGTCGTCCCATTCACGACCACGTAGTCCGTTTCCACGAATAGTTGCCTCCCCGACATCCTGAAACTCGGTGTGTTCTTCCTCAAAACCAACTACGCCGTCACTCTCCAACATGTCGAACCAAGGTACGAACATGGCGGACCACACCATGAGGGTCACGGCCAAGACCATGAACATGCCGGGCGCGATCATGCATCAGGCGCCCTGGATCATGAAGACCCCGGGCAGCGCTGGAGTTTGTCACCTAAAACTATGAATGCGCCGACCACAAACATGCGTTTGCCGGTCCTAGGCATGAATATGTCGGGCTAAGTATGAGTTTACCGGGCTAATCCCACGCGCACGGCCCTAAAACATCTACAAACGCCAAAAATCACGCATTCTAACAAGAAAATGAAGAAGATAGACCACTTACTTGAATCAAAGAGTAGGAGTTAGCTACGGAGTAGAAGAATCTGTGACAGAAAGTCGCAACTGGAAAAAATCTGGAAGAGCAGCAGCAGAGAGAGCGCGGAGAATAGAAACGTGTTATGGGGCCCAAGGTTCCTATTTATAGTGATGACGTGGAATACCAAACGTCACCTCGGGCAACCACGGACACCCTCTCCTCGACGCGCTGCTCCCAACGCAATGATGACCCTATCCCCATAGGGTGGCGGCACAGTTCCCGAAAGATACCTAGCATGCTCAACAGATGCGCCCGGTAAGGATCCTCCGGGCATCCACCGCGGAAGACGTCCCCAAACACGACACGAGGAGGCCCTCGAGGCCCCACACCTCTGTCCCGGGCACGAGACCTCGATGAGGAAGCGACCTGAGTTCAAGTCATGGCTCCTCACAAAGGAACCACGACTTGGGGGGCTCCTGTTCTGGACTGGGCCCGACAGGCCCAAAAGCATTGCAAAGGCCCAGTCCAAATAGACTTACAAGGGCCACGTCGACCAAAGAGTGAGACTGTGCCCGACGTGCAGTCACTGGCTCGACGATACACCTCCAGCTCGACATGAGATGGTCCAGCACCACATTCTGAGGTCCAGCTCGACGTTACCTCGAGCACCCCAGCTAGGGCAGACTCAGTCCACTGTTCCCCAACGATACTCCGAAAAGACCGCGTCTCCGTCCGCCCGCACTTCACGCAGAACATCCAAGAAGGGGACTACGTGCGGGTCCCCACTACGCACGTAGAACCTGGCAGTTCCTCCATTGGGCCAAACCTGCCCGACCCAATGAAGGAACCTTGACCCAGCGTTGGGGGCTATAAATACCCTCTGCTTCCAGAGGGTCAGGTATTCATCATTCTAACCTTATACTTGCTATTATCTGCTCGTACTCCTACTTACTTCAGCATCGGAGTGCCTTGCAGGTACCCCCCCACCTCGTTCAAAAAAGCTTTCTGCTCGGAGCCAGCCGTGATGGTCCATTTCTGATCAGGTCAGATCATATATATATATATATATATATATATATATATATATATATATATATATATATATATATATATATGCGCTTAGGGCTCCTTACTAGTCACTACCAATGTCATTAATTTGAAAGGAAACTTTTAGAAGAAAAAAATTAAAAAGCCGAAACTTTAAATAATAAAGGAATCAAAACTGGACAAATAAAAAAAAAGGGGTTAAGTTGCAATTAAGGGTTTGAAAAATTAGTGGAATAGCTATTGCTGACGGAGGAGTAAAAAAAAAATACCAACACTTAATTCAACCCTCTCGCTCTCTCCAACTTCGCCGCCGCATCACCTCAAACCTAGTCCGGTACCACTCTCTCTTCACTATATGTTTGAACCTTTAATTTTTTCTTGTGAATATATTTGGTTTCCATCTTATTCAATTTATGATATATGGTTGTGAATAATTGCATCCATATATGAACTAGGGTTAAGAGTCAAGAGTTAATATAATCACTAGATTTCAAATATTATTCACTCATAATGTATCTATGGCTTTTTGCATTCCAGATAGTTGAAGAAACTAAGTTCAGTTCAACTTGTTTTTTTCAAGAGATTGCAGAATATGAAAGAGGAAGAGGTGAATTGCTGCCAAATTCAGGAATGGTACCCGAAATTCAAATCTGTATCAATCAAGACGTTAATTCACCAACTTCCCGAATCTTTCGTTGAATACCTTCTCGATGACTCTAAGCCCTTTCTACTGCCTGCTTCCGTCTTAAACGAGGATGCATTACCCAATAGAATTCGCAATCCTGACGATGAAGAAGATTTTCAGGTTTCAGAGGGATCCGATGATGAAGCGGAAGAATCTTCTCCGCCACCTTCTTTTCCAGAACTTGAGTTGAAAGTTAAGGAATCCGTCGAGTCCCTTGGCGGTGCAGTATTCCCTAAACTGAATTGGAGTGCCCCGAAAGATTCAGCTTGGATAAGTACTTCTGGTACTCTTCGATGCACTAATTTCAGTGAAATTGCGCTTCTGTTCCGAGGTTCTGACTCGTTAGTCCATGACTTGTGTCATGCTTATGATTCTTGCGATGATAAACTTATGTCTCGACCGCATAATTTCTTTCTTGCTCTCCGGAAATGGTATCCGTCGCTTAAGCCAGATATGGAGTTTCGTTGTTTTGTACAGAATAAGAAATTAGTCGGAGTTTCTCAGCGGGAGGTTACTACTTTTTATCCTGTTCTGCTCGAAAAGAAGAATGATATCATATTACTGATACAAGCATTTTTCAACAATCATGTGAGAGGTAAATTTGAGTTGGAAAACTACACGTTTGACGTTTACGTTACGAACGATGAGAGAGTTAAGATTGTGGATTTCAACCCTTGGGGTGGCTTTACGTTATCGTTGTTGTTTACATGGGATGAATTAGAGCATGTTCGTAGTGAAGGGGGTGATGTGGAGTTTAGAATTGTGGAAGATCGATGCGGTGTTAGACCAGGCCTAAAAACAGCAGTTCCATATGATTACTTGGATACCAGTCAAGGGAGTGGTTGGGATCAATTTCTAAGGAATGCTGATCAAGAGTTGAGAAATCAAGACAGGTCTCCAGAAGCTGGTGCATGATAACTAGATTCTTGCTCTCAATTTTCAACTTTGGAATTGCAGCAGTTTTGTTCAATCACAGATTGCAAAAATAGTATAATTTGTTGAAATTTTGTTACGCTACAGGTGTGCTATAGTGTTACCATAACTTTTTATTTGACAACACTTTGTGCTAACTGGTGTATTGCAAAACAATGTCAATTTGTTTAAATTCTGCTACATTATAGTTGTTATCTGACAACACAGAATACTTATTTAACCTTTAGTAACTGCATTCTATTTTCTGAGCTATGAACAAAAAAAAATAACACTATAATCATAAATGACTTAATTGAAATTAACTTTAACTTCTTACAAATGGCCTCTAAAAAGTTTGGGACTTGTAATTGAAATATAGTATTTATTGAAATATCAAATGCATAGTAAAAATTATTCATCATTCAAGGATTCTTATTATTTACACCATTTAAATTATCATAGTTACATCATCTTTATGGTTACTCTTAATCAAAGATCTAATTTAGGAAAAAGAACATTAACACGTGTATCGTCGACCTAAACATCGACCTCGATAACCATGACTAAAAATATGATAAATTTTAGTAGTATGAACACGTTAATTAGTAAATGGTTCACTGTCAATCAATATTTATAAACAACTTTTCAATGAAACGGAAATTTATGAACTGCATCTACTTTGTTACAATTCATTATAAAAAACACAAACACCCATTAGATACATCTTTGTTACATATCTGAAATGATAATTGAGAAATTTGCTGAGCACTTATAATCTGCACTATGAATTTGGTTTTTCACAAAAGTTATGTGAGTTAAAGCTATGCTGCAAAAATATTCCAATGATTATTCGTGTCGAAGATTCCATCAAAGATTTCATCATTTTGAGAAAGATCTATCTCTAAGATCTCCGAGACGATTGAAGAAGCTTGAAGCACCAATTAGAAGCACATAACATTTAACTGAAACTTCAACCTGGTTCTGCTCAATTACATCTCGCACATTATAGAACTTAGTTGGCTGGTACTACCTTCAGTAATCTAGCAAGGTCATAAGACATGAAGTCTTTTCCGTAACATAAACTTAGATCCAATGCTGTTTTTCCATCCTGAAGAATCATAGCCAATAAATGAAGTTCTACCTCTACCACAAGTAAAAACAAATAATTCCACTATCGAGGTTAAGAATAAGCATAGCAATAAATGTAGTACAACAAAGTTACCTTATTTTTCATCATTCTATCTGCACCATTGACCAACAAAATTTTCGCTATATCTCTATTCCGGCTTTGAATGGCAACATGCAACGGGGTCCAACCTTGCTGAGAAAATTAATCGTAAATAACATAATCCGTATACAATAAGTAAAATTGAAGAACTTCTTTACAAGTAGAAGGAAACTCGTGTTCTTAAAAACGCTCACGTTATCTGCAACGTTGACATCAACGTTGTATTTAATCAATAATTTCACAGTTTGCTTTGCACCAACTTGAACTGCATAGTGAAGTGGAGTAGCTCCATCCTACCATATTAATAAATATAAAAACACCAAATCACACTTAAAGAATGCATTCAACAATTTATGAACATGAGGGATTTGTCCATACCTTATCCTTGACATGAGGACTTGCACCTTTCCGTAAAAGATGGCTTATAACCGCTTCATTTTTACCTATAATTGCCTTATGAAGTGCAGTGAGACCTTCCTGTTGATCAAATTATCTTATTTAAGACTAGGCAAATGCTATGTAAAATCCGGCATACATATATATATACATAATATAAACAAAAGTACCTTATTGAGGAAATCAATATCGTAACCATTTTCAAGAAGCCGGTCCATGCTATAAATTTGCAGTGATAACGCAAGAGAGTGCAGTGGGTTCCATTTTTCCTGAATACATGAAAATAAGAGTTTAGGAATAGGTAAGAAAGCTGGGCAGTAGGATAGATAATGCAGAGTTACAGACTTACAGACGATATTTTTTCCAAGTCAGGAGTTATATTTTGTTGCAATATTTTTCTTTCTTCAGGTTCCAAAAGCTGTTCAACCTCTGCATTAATAAGAAGAGTATTTATTATAGTCGCAGACTATTATAAAATGTCAGAAAACATTCTATACAATCTATTTACCAACCATCTTTCGATAATTGAGGCAAACCAACACTAAATGTAGACACCTCAGTTAGCTGGGATTTAAATTTTGGTTCACCGTGTTGTGAGAATCTACCTAGTCCCTTCTACTAGACCCAAGCGCGGTTGTTTTTTTCCTGTCAGATCTAATTACTCTCGTATAGGAGACATGTATCTAACAAGGTTTAAATTTTCAACAGAGCGTGCTTTAGTAAATCGCTCAACTATCACAATTATGGGCAGCCCAAACTCAAGTTTGATTATTATTTTTTCCAATCTGATACAGGTGCCAGTTTTCAATACCATGACATAAGGACTCCAATAAAGAAAAAGAAACATGAAAAACAAAAATACCTTTCTTAATACGCTCATACTCGTCCTGTGCAGTGATATTAACACCGGCAGTTTGTGAAGTCTGTGTCTCTTCCCCATCACTTTCAAATCCAAGGCTCTCGTCTTCACTATCAGAATCTTCCCAAGTTCCATGTTCTTGTTGGGTTTTCAAATAAGGTATTTCTCTGCTTGATTTGATTGCAACATTCCTTGCAACCGTATAATCATCCCTGGAGAAAGCGAGACATAACTTTTCTTCTGTGCATCCGTAAATTCTATGGAAACCGGCTCTGAATTTGGAGTTAATTGCAGAATTAGTATTGATGATAGAAAATGGAGTAAACCAATTAGAAAGAACAGACGCTGTAGCCAAACAATCCATTTATATGTTCCTGGAAAAGGGGCATTAGAAACAGAAATAAAAACAAAAACAAGTTAAATTTAGTTGCCACTGAACTGAACCGTCATCATATAGTTTAGTTAGGCACATTGATAATGCAAACTGCCAAAACAACTGGATTAGAAGTTGCTCAAGTAGAATTGTTCTAGATGAAGAAAATGGGAAAACTCTATATCCTTAAAAGATAAAAACTGGTCATACTATTTATCAGAGTGTAGAACAGACCATTTTTTTCAAATTGCACTCCGCAACCACAATTGCGGCCGCAATATTGCAGATGCGGTAGCTTCAACAATCACCTCAGACCGCAATTGCGATGTGATTTAAGATCACACATATTAGAAACTACATTACACAATTTCACCCATGTTTTTTAAGTAATTTTTTTCAAATCTTAAAATTAGAATTAAGAACGAAAGGGTTTTAAATTGAAAATGAAAGGATAAGAAAGTGATGAAGAAGAAGAATAAACTTACGGTGATTTCAATCTCTCCCGCGCCTTTTCCTACTATCTGGCTATTGTCTTTGCTTTCTTCTCACTTTCTCTCTAGCCTCTCAACGATTTTAATTCATCTTTATCTATAACAATGTTTATAAAAGAAAAATTCTTAGTCTATATTTTATTTTTCATTTTACATTTATTTATTGTAAATCATTTTTTTTAAATTAATTAAAGATATTATTCTTAAAACCCTAATCCCCTTTTTATTCGATTCATCTTCATCCATGGATTTTGATGTATTGTTTCCGGAAATCAAATCAGCTTTTAAGGCAAGTGATTTCCAAGCTCCTTCATCTTCAGATATTTCGAAACTTCAGCCAGTGAAGTCTTTCGTTCAAGCTTTGAAAAAGGTTTGTGATATTCTTTCATTGCAACTACCTCAACCCATTATCAAAGGGGATCGTCATTCTATCACCATCTCAGAGGAAGAGTATAAAGTTGGAATCGATGAATGTAAGAACAATCTTTATGGAAGAGTATTGTGGCCAAAGGGATTGATGTAGGAATGTTGCCTGCGTGTATCAAAGGGAAAGTGCGCATCAGAACAATTCGACAGAATCTGCGCAAGTTTGACGTTTGATGTCAGAATTACTCTTATTATACCTTTTCCAAAAATAGCATTTTATTAATTTATACAATTTTAGCAATTTATATTTTATTTGTTTAATTTTGTTTTGGATTAAAAGCTCATAAGGTCCATTAGGGTTTCTTTGTTTTATGTATCTAAAGACCTTTGGCATAGACATAAGGATTATCTTTCATTATAATATAATCCAAAGTTTTCTTTGTGTTGATAGGCTCCGTGTCTTATCTGACAGGTTTTATTCTTGCAACCCTGTGTTTTATTATAGGTTTTGCGCTTGCAACCCTATTCCTTTATTATAGGTTTAGCGCTTGCTAATCCATAGGGCTTCCGACTGTGTCAATTGGTATTAGAGCTGATACTCCAACATAACCATGATTATCGAGTGAAGCTTGATATTCCGTTATTCTATGCAACAATGGGAGTGGAGGAATTTCGAGATGTTTATACTTGTCATCAGCTTGAGGGTATTGTTCTTCAGAATAGTCTTCTTCTTCCTCTTCCTCTTCTGATTTTGACAGGACAATTGTTTCCTTGCCTTTCCCATCTTGATTGTCTCTCTCACTGGATGTTGTTGCAAAGTCTACGGTCCTTCTTGTCTTCCCATAAAATCTTCTTCCCCTGTTCAGGACTCCGGTTACCTTCTTTGTCTTCTTTTTCTTCTCCTCAGCCAACAAAGTCTTTAACTTTTATTGTCCTTTGGCTAGGGTCAAGAGCAATTGTTGAAACTGTGCAATCTGAGCTTGGAGGTCCTTCACTGTTTGCTCGAGATCCATCTTACTGAAATAAACAGTAGAGAGATGAGGAGACTTGTTGCAAGAAACCTGCTTATGTTATGATGAATGATAAATGCGTATGCAATGATTTCAAGGATTTTAAGATTCAAATTCGTTTTAGACAAAAAGAAAAACACACGTTATATTAATATATTAAAGCTTGAGTACAATAATGCCTTCTTGGGCAAAACAAATACAAGAAAATCTAAGATAAAAAGGTAGTGCGCATCCTCTTTGGTGCAATGTAGGCATTCAGAGTCTGCTCCTCATGAAGTAGCCTAGTGAGCTCCAAACCCTTCTTCTTGCTTGCGTAGAATTGGGCTTCGAAAGTATCTCGATCCCCCTTGAGTTGTATCCAATCCCTTTGTAGGTCTTCAAGAGAGGTGCGCATGTCGGGATGTAGGATAGTGTATAGAACATCTCCTTCCATGACAGACTCAACAATTACCGGGAGAATGGAAGGGTAAGGCATCATCAGACTTTGAGCACGAGTTTGTACCCATTTGAGGTAAGGCTCAAGAGGGATGGAATTCTTATGTCCCAATATCTTACTATCTACCTTGTTTAACATCCTCCAAGATTGGATAAATCTATGGCGAAGACCTTGATCGTCGTTGTCATAGTCAAATACCAAACCTTGAATCAACATCTCATTCGGGCCATCCCTTCGGGCATAACCAAATTGTCTTAAGGCTAAGCAGGGGTTGTAGGTGATACCTCCCCTAATGCCAAGTAAATGGACATTAGGAAATTCTCCATAACGGTCGACAATGATAACATTCTCTTTGGATCGGGAGCACCAATGAATGTCTAAATATTTGAGTGTCATCATCCTTTGTGACCACCTTGAACCTTGCTCATTCCTTAATACAGATTGGGGAAGATGAGAAATAAACCATCTTGCCAAGAGAAGAGTGCAACACAGAACACCTCTTTTCCTCATTGTGCGAGTGTGAAAAGAGTGTAGGATGTCTGCTAGCAAAGTAGGCACCGGGTTACGGGATATGAAGATTTTGACGGTGTTCACATCTATGAGTTGGTCAGGATTTGGAAACAAAACCATCCCATAGACGAGGAGAGCCACAATTTCCTCAAAGGCTTGCAGATCCAAGGAATCCCAACAGCTTTGGGTTTTCTCGAACAAGAACTTTGCTAGGAAACCTTTGACACCACTTCTTGTTTCCCAATAAGTTGTGACATCAGATGAGTGCAAGTGTAGAGCTTGAGCAATCTCTTCTGGCTTTGGGTCTCTTTCCGTACCGTTGAAAGGTAGTTGATTGAGAATGAGAATCCTCAAGAGTTGGGAGAATTATTCCAAAGTTGGCACAAGTTGATAGTCAGGAAATGTGAAGCAATGGTGTGAAGGATCAAAGAACTAAAAAAGCACCTTCATCATGTCCTCATTTGTGTTGGAAGTGACCAAGTTGAGTAGGCGACAGTGTCTCTCGGTGAATGGAGAGTTTTCAGGAATCCTTGAAGCTAGCTCCTTAAGTTGTGGAGGGATCTTTACAAGTTTGACTTGAATAGTTTTCCTGCGAATAGAATCCATGTCCTATAAAACAAGAACAAAGATAAATCCTAAAACCCTTGAAATGGTTAGTGAATGAATATGATGTTATGATGTCCATGATGTTATGTACAAGCATGTATATATAAACAAAGCAAACAAGTTGTTAGGTTTAGGCTTGCATGGAGTCTCATAGGTAAGTACCCTCTTGAAGTTTAGTTGGCTAAAACTTGTCCTAGTAATAGTAACTGGGTTTTAAGGAGCTCAATATCGCTGATTCATTTCCTTGGTCATTGTTTCAGCACAAGCCTCTTTAATGGCGACCGAAATATCCCATGAAACCAAACCTCAATGAGTGTAGTATCGAGTATCTAGCAACTTCGGACTGCACCAAAGTCGGTCATCTCACTACATCCTAAAGGCCAAGTTGGTCAAGTAAGGTTCTAAAAGTTTATTAGTGCTTCATGACATCACTCAGCGGCCCTGTATTCTCTTTGATTAACTCAAAGGCCACCGGTACCCACAAATATGTCGCACTAACATAGTTATTGCTTAGACTATGTCGGTATACCCCACATAGTTTCCATAATGTATTGCTACTTACCTATAATGTATTCCAAATCCGGGTAGAGGATTCAAACCCAAATAAAGAACCATAATGTAAAGCATACAAGTCAAACAACGTAAGCAAGTAAATGTGATATATCCCTAAGGTAACCCCACTTTTAGAATTTTCCCCAGCAGAGTCGCCAATTCTGTGATACAGTGGGAGAACTGACTTGGGTGTTTTGCGTTTGATCGCAAATGTTGCGGTTAGCAAGAGTCGCCACCGACTTTTCTTTTATCCAAAAGGAAAGGTGAAAAAGTATAGGAAAGACCTTTGAGATTATTTCTTGAGTTCGGGGGGTAGATTATGAAAAGGGGAGGTATTAGCACCCTTTTCATCCATGGTTTTCCATGGGATCTTAGTTACTTGCTAGATCACTTGCTTTTGTTTGAAATTGTGCTTTGTGTAGTTTTTGAAAGTATTTTGTAAAGAGGCCATTGTTTAGGCAATCTTTGTAATAATTCTCATTCGTAAGAATGTATATAAAGATGTTGATCTTTTGAAAATGTTTTCAAGTTTGTAAGATGTTTGAAAGTGTAGGTGTTTGTTTTGAAAATAGCAAGGATGTTTTGTTTGAAATTGAGCAAGTAATTAGGAGCAATCTACCTACTCAAATGTCTTTCTTGTTCATTTTCTTTTCCTTTGACATTGTTGTCTTACCATTGATTTGGTAAGCAACCCTATCTTTGGATGTAAACGGGACGGGCGTGGGTCATCGTATAACCATGATTAGCAATGTTGTAAGACATCTTAGCATTCTCTTTTGGGGACTAAGATCATTTGTAAGGCAACTTAGACAGCGTCATCGAGAGACTATGATCTTGTATTCGTTTGTTTTTGCTAAGATACCTCACGTGCGTAATGTGTCCATTTTGTAAGGCAACCAAGTGGATTTTACCCTAGGGGTGCTTGTGTACAAGTGTATTGTTTTCATGCTTGTTTTTGTCTTGAATTAGGGTTTTCTATTTTATTGATTTTATTCTTTCCATACAAACCCTAATTACTAGCATGTGAATATAAAGCATTTAAATTGCGGAAAATAAAAATACTAAGCTATTATATGATTTGTGGGAAGGGGGTGTACAAAGTATAAATGGGGATTGCAAGAAATTAAAACCCTAATTAGTCTATTACAACCATATTGAATTGATATGAATATACAAGGAATTTACCTAAATACAAGGTATAAAAATGAATGAATGTACAAGGATGCAAAATGTAAAGAAAATGAATTTTTGTTTAACTTTCATAAAAAGATTTTGTCTTAACCTAATTTAAAGAAAATGGTTAAATTTAAGTTTGAATTTATTTAGGAAAAATATTTTAAAAGAAAGCTCAGTTCTATTAATCAATCAAAAGAAAATAATTTAAGGAAAGTATTTTTTTGGCATTTTTTAATCTTGAAAATATTTATAGCATTAAAAAAAATTTAGTCCTTTTTTGGTATTTAAATAATATATTTTAAATGGTGTGAAGAAAAATAAATGAATAATACAATATTAATTAATTTTATAAGGTTTACTTAAATAAATAAATAAAGTATGAAGAATAAAAATTATTTTTATTTATGGAAAAATAAAATAAAATAGTCAAAATATAAAATATCATTTTTTACATTTTTATCATTTTTTAATATTTAGAATATATATTTGAGAAAAATAAGTAAAAAAAAAAAAAAAATGAAGAAATAAAATTGAATTGGGCCAGGGTGCAAATATGAAACAGGGGGGAAGGTTAGAAAGAAAAGTCAGGCCCGGGAGGGGGGAGGCCCATGCGCTAGAAGGAACAAAAAAATGTAAAATGAGTGAAAAAAGCAAAAGGCAGCGCGCGCTGAGGCTCGAACGCTGACCTCCTGATTACCAGCGCGCTGCCTTACCACTAGGGTGGCTATACATCCGTTAATACAAATGAAACGATAAATACATAAGGTAAAACGTCTCCATGACCTGTACTTCGTCTTCAACCTTCAGCCAGCAGACCACTTGTATCTCATTCATTTCTCAACAAAAATGGAAAACGCAAACATGAAAGTTGTGCTATTTTTCCTCACGAATCCAAACATATAACTTATGTAAGCTAAAAGTCAAAGATGAAGATTAATTTTGCTGGCCCTAAATTGAAACCTAATTTTTTTCAGAAAGTTCAAATCTGAAATTCTCTACACACAGTCAATATAAATGAAAACTATGGACATGGTTAGCTTTAGAGCAATGATATCTACATTTTTACTTCAGAATGTATGCACAGAGGATGCTTGTATCAAGATATTGAAGTTTGAAAACTTACCTCTTGCAGATGGATTCGTGTATGGAGTTTGAGAAAGCTTTGAGGTGCCCTAAGATTCTGTTTAGCTTGCCTGGACCTCCTTGAGTGTATTCCAACTCCTACTTTGCTTTGAAAGTCCTTGAATCTCCCTACTCAAGTCAACCTGTAAGCTTGATGTTTAAAAATGGTGAATAGTGATGGAGGGGTTACAGTCTTAAAACAGGGGCCTTGATCACTTGTGTATGATGTATGTAAGGTGTTTGAATGATTAAGAATCAAATCGCACGAGTGGAAATGGAGATGGAGAGTTTTGGCTCAAAACTGTCAAGTTGAGCAGTCTTGTGCAACAAGGGTGTTTGGGAGAGTTTTAGAATGCTTGAAATCATGTCTTAGCTTGCAATAAACTTGTTAATATGTATGGAAAATATTAGAGCACAAAATCACTCCAGGTTTCTGAGTTATAGGGTTATGGCTCTATAACTTGCTTTTGAAAAAAGTGAAATGACAAATCTCAAGTATTGTATAAGCATGTTCTGAGCTTTCTTAGGTCTTAGACACATTGCTTTTGGTTTATAGGAGTTATGTGTGCAAAAAGAACAAGTTAGAAGCTCAAGACAAGTTGACTTTGTGATTAAAGCAACTTTTCAAGAATGGAATGGTAGCTTTCTTCCAAAAATGGCAAATTGGCTTGGACAATGCTTGGAACACTTGGATAATAGCTCAAAAGCAAGTGTAATATTCTGATTATGGAGAGATATTGAGACTTAGAAGCCTATAAAACAATATTGTGCAGCATAGGTTTGAAATTGGATTCTTGTTCATCACAAAATGCCTTGTAACTCAAGTGATAAAACACCAACTTCATCTCTTCGATTCTCCCTACTCAAGAATGATCTCAAGGAGTTCTTGGACATTTTGGAAAGCTTGCAATGTACTCTACAACCCATCTTTGAATTGCTTTTGAATATTCCCCTTGAAACTATATGAAAAAGTGTCATGAAGTTGAGTCAAAATCCTGACCAAATTAGGGCAAAATTTCACTAAGTGTTTAGTTTCATGATCCTATGTTCTTGAAATTATAACTTGAGATCCAAGCACTTTTGGAAGAAGTTGTGTGAAGCAAAGTTGTAAATTTCCTGGATATCTACAAATTTCATGTTGGGAGTTTCTCTTGAATCATCTTGTATCATGGTAAAAATTTGGCTCAAAGTTATGAAAAAACATGAATTTTCAACACTTAGAAAAATTTAGGCAAAATACCCTTTTTAGTCCTTTAACTTTACCCCAAGGTCCATTTTGGTCCTTTATCTAAAAAAAGTGTCAAACTGGTCCTATAATTCTTTCAAAAGGACCACGTTTGTCCTTTCCATCCACTCCGTTAGTCATGTTTAATGGCAGCGCTTATGTGGCATTACACGTGGGTTTAGAAAAATTGCATGTGGCAATTCCACTTAAAAGTCAGTTTGACACTCTTATGTGGCATTACCACTCATCCATTGCATGTTTCCTTGAAGGTGAAACCAGACTTCTCATCAGAGGTAAGTTTCTGCTTTCTGCAAGAATTCTATTTTCATAGTTAGGGTTTCCATGAAATTCGTCTCCCTTCTCTGAAATTCATCTCTCTATTTAGGGCATTGTGTGTAATGGAGGAAATTCTTAATATTACGATACACCACAGTGGTCATTTTGTTAGTGAGGACTTGAGTGTGTACGAAGGAGGTGAGATTGCTGATTTGAGAGTAGATGCTGATATGTGGGGTTATTTTGAGTTATTGGGTGCTATTAAGGAACTAGGTTACCCAGCCATAGAGAAGATATACTATAAGGATCCAACTGCTGGAATGAATCTGTTGTTTGATGACAAAGGGGCCTTAGAGATTGCTGATCTATATAGGGTTCATTTACGTGTTGAAGTCTTTATTCAACACCCATTGTCACAGCCTGAGTATGTTGATGAGAGTGAAGTTATTTTAGATGAGATACCCCTGAATGTAATGGAAGATGATGCAGTTAGACAAAATGAGGTAAGTGAGGATGCTGTTGGACAAAAGGAGGCAAGTGAAGATGTTGTTATACAGAAGGAGGCAATTGAAGATGTTGTTGGACAGAAGGAGGCAAGTGAAGATGTTGTTATACAGAATGAGGCAAGTGAAGATGATGTTGGACAGAAGGAGGCAAGTGAAAATGTTGTTGGACAGAACGATGATGATAGTTCTGATGATGATAGCTCTGATGATAGTAGCTTTTCGTATGATAGTGCAAAGGAGGTTGTATTTGATGATGAAACTGATGACTGTGATACTGACTTGGAAGAGGAAGAAGGTATGGCAGAAGTAACTGATCTCTGTGAAACTGAACCAAATAAAGAAGATAGTAAAGGAAGTGATAAAGGAAGTGATAAAGGAAGTGATAATGAAAGTGAGGATCTTGTAAGTGATTGTGATAGTGAAGATAGCAATACTACCAAGAGAAAGAAGTATCCCATTTTCAAGCTTCTAAAGGATATGTCCAATTACAAATGGGAAGTGGGTACATATTTTAGTACAAAAGAAGATATCAAGGAAACAGTTACCTCTTATGCAGTCCAATCTGGCAGAAATTTAAAGTACATCAAAAATGACAAGATAAGGGTTAGGGTTAGGTGTAAGGATGGATGTGAATGGGAAGGTTATTGGGCTAAGTTGGATGTTGAGGATACTTGGCAACTAAGAAAGGTGATAGACACCCATAGTTGTAGTAGAGAATATCATGTGAAGTTGTTGAAGACTAAATGGCTTAGCAAGAGGTTGCAGAATGCACTTAAAACCAACCCTAGATTGAAGCTTAAGGACATTAAGGAAAAGGTGCAGAGGAAGTGGAATGTGGGGGTCAACAAAACCAAGGCTATAAGGGCTAGGTTTGCAGCAAGAGACATGGTTGATGGGTCATTCTTAGGGGATTATACAAGGATTTATGACTATGCACATGAGTTGTTAAGATCTAACCCAGGGTCAACTGTGAAAGTACATGTCCAACCAGCTCAAGAAGGTAGTGGTGTTCAGAAATTACACTTCAAAAGGATTTACATATGCTTGGCAGCTTGTAAGGAAAGCTTCAGGTTAAGTAGACATTTCATAGGGCTTGATGGATGTTTTTTGAAAGGGATTTGTGGAGGTCAAATCCTGTCAGCCATAGGCAGAGATCCCAATGATCAAATGCTACCAATAGCATATGCAGTAGTGGAGAGTGAAAACAAGGAAAGTTGGACATGGTTCTTGGAGCTGCTTATTGGTGATCTAGGTGGAAGAGAAGAGTGTCTCACATACACTTTTATTTCTGATCAACAAAAGGTATGACTCTATTGTTAATTCTCAATTGATTAGTATTTTTAATAATTAAATTCTCATGTTTATCTTGGTATTCTCATGTTTAATAATTAAGTTATATACATATCATGACCCAGGGATTATTGCCTGCAATGGAGGAACTGCTGCCTACAGTTGAACAAAGATTCTGTGTTAGGCATCTCTACAACAACTTTAGGAAGAGATTTCCAGGAAAAAAACTAAAGGAAATTATATGGAAGGCATCCAAATCAACTTACTACCAAGCTTGGGAAAGAGAGATGAAAGTTATGAAACATATCAATGGAGAAGCATACAAGCACATGATGTCTACCCCTCCAAGGTTTTGGAGCAGATCATACTTCAAGACTCATAACAAATGCGATGCAGTTCTCAATAATATGTCAGAATCCTTTAATAGTGTTATTTTGGAGTCAAGGGCCAAGCCATTAATAACCATGGTGGAAGAAATTAGGATATACATGATGGAGAGATGGGCTACAAACAGGATGAGGTTTCAGAAATTGACAGATGTAGAAGTCTTGCCAAACATTATGAAAAAGGTTGAGAAAACAAGTTCATTCACAAACATGTGGCTTCCCAGGTAAAATTATTAAAACAAGCATTTTTTCTGTGTTAGAATGTCTGACTTTGGAATGTCCATTCTCATCTTAATTTGGAATGTCCATTTTTCTGTGTTAGGATGTCTGATGAGCATATGTTTGAAGTGAGGCATCTGGAAAATTCTGCTGAAAAATTCACTGTAAACTTGAAGGAAAAAATCTGTTCATGCAGAAGATGGGAGCTAACAGGCCTACCATGTGTTCATTCACTTGCAGCAATCAAGAATAGGAACCATAGGATTGATGAATACATTCCTGATTATTACAGGAAATCTAGGTATTTGCAAGTGTACAAACCTGTCATATTCCCTGTTAATGGCTCAAACCTATGGGTTACAACTGAGTACCCTGATGTTATGCCACCCAAATTCAGGAAAATGCCTGGAAGGCCAAAGAAAAGGAGGAATTTAGAGCAAGGTGAGCTAGATGGTACTGATAAAAAGATGAGAAGAACAGGATTCATTATAAAGTGTAGCAGGTGTAAGCAGGTAGGTCACAACAAGCTTACTTGTAAGGTGCCTTCTACTAGTCAGACACATGTAGCTCAACCATCTGTACCACAAGCACCATCTGTACCACAAGCACCAGTGCCTTCTCAACCATCTCAAGCATCTGTACCAGTGCCTTCTCAACCATCTCAAGCATCTGTACCAGTGCCTTCTCAACCATCTCAAGCATCTGTACCAGTGCCTTCTCAACCATCTCAAGCATCTGTACCAGTGCCTTCTCAACCATCTCAAGCATCTGTACCAGTTCCTTCTCAACCATCTCAAGCATCTGTACCAGTGGCATCATCTGTACCAGTGGCATCTGTACCAGTGGCATCTCAAGCATCTAAGTCAGTTCCTGGTCAAGGTTCTCAGGCATCTCAATCTAAATCATCCAAAAAGTTGTCAGTTAGAAGGCCAAATACACCATTTGTCCCATCTCAAGCATCTAAGTCAGTTCCTGGTCAAGCTTCTCAGCCATCTCAATCTAAATCATCCAAAAAGTTGTCAGTTCGAAGGCCAAATGCACCATTTGTCCCACCAGGTCCAACAACGAGGTTAAAGGCATCAATAACTGTTGTAGGTCCAACAACAAGAAGGACAACACCAACTAAAAGAGCAGCACCAAAGTGGAAACCTTAGTTTACTTTTATGTCTGTTTTGGATTAGGATTGGAATATAGTTGTTATGTTGTTTTGTTAACTTGGAATATTAGAATTAGTTATGTTAAGTTGTTTTGATCATGTAATATCAAGAAGGACAAGTTTTTGTTTTGACCTGTAATATCAGGCTGTTGTTTTGATCATGTAATATCAAGAAGGACAAGTTTTTGTTTTGACCTGTAATATCAGGCTGTTTGGATTGGACCTGTAATATCAGGTTCTTTTGTATGCAACTTAGTGGTATCCACCACCTTATAATTATATGTTTGGATTGTTACAGTATGTTACATTATGTTTTACATTGATACAAAAATGCTACTAGTTTTACAGTACGTTACATTGATCAAAATGCTGCATTGATACAAAAATTGCTACATTATGTTTTACAGTATGTTACATTGATCAAAATGCTACTAGTTCAAAAATTCAAGTTGATACACAAATTCAAATTCATAATGATACCATGTTCAAATTGAGACTGTGTTACATATGAATCTATTACAACATCATCCAAATTACCACAACTAACATAATAAAGAAGAATCTTTTCCATTTTTTCTGAGAATTCTTCATCTTCTTCATTTCAATTTGTAACTCCATTATCTTATGTTTCAGCCCATCCTTCCTTTCCTTTAGATGATGTATCTCCATCTTTGCTCCATCAAGCTCATTTTGCAGCTTCTCCAACCTATTATTCTGCTTCTTTATAAACTGATCCTTCTCATCCACCACATCATCAAAGAACCATTGAAAGTATCCACACCCAGATTCAGATGAACCCTGTAATGGTGACATCCAGATTCATCTCAGCTATTGCAGGAACTATCAGAACAAGAATATATGAAAACCCATTTTAATTTCATGCTTACCTTGTAATGACGACAACCCCAGAATTGCTTCCCAAAGTTTGTGATGGTGGTAGCCCTTCGAAGAACCGCAGATTCTCCACAACCACATATAGGTCTCCATCGCAACTTTCCATCTAAGCTTCCATCTCTATTGCAATCGTACGAAGACCGGATCTCTGATGATGCTTCCTTCATCATATTGAGGGAATTTCAAATTCAAAATGGGAAAATTGAGGATTTCTTGAACCCTAGAATTTGAGGATTTCTGGAACCAGCTTGAAGATGATAACATTCCATGTCACCTGCCACGCATGCAAACCAAACGTCCGTTTGGGCCTTTTGGACGGAAAGGATTCCTATGGTCCTTTTGAAATAATTATAGGACCAGTTTGACACTTTTTTTAGATAAAGGACCAAAATGGACCTTGGGGTAAAGTTAAAGGACTAAAAAGGGTATTTTGCCAAAAATTTATAAGTTTAGAAATTATTACTTTTCAAAATGAAATCTTGACTTTTTGATTTCTTGATGAATAAGTTTTATATTTTGACATGTTTTAATGAATTATGATCCTTGGCACTTGAATTTGACCAAAAAGTCAAAGTTTGACTTTTTAGTATACAGTTGACTTTTGATCAGTTGACTGCAAAATTCATTTGTCAATCCAATGGACTTGCAATGTTTTGAACCATGTCATTAGGTCAAAATGATCCAAAAGGACTCTTGAGATCATTCCTTAAACCAATTGACCATTTGCTAGGTCAAAAACCAGAAATTGCCCTTTCCTAGTCAAAACCCTAATTTTGACCATTTTGCCCTTTTGGGGATTTGATCAAATCTCTTAAGGAATTATGGTCCAAACTTGATAAAATGATACATATGGGTTTGAAGTGTTGATGTGGATAAAAAATTATGAGATTTGACTGTAAATTGACCATGGTTGACTTTTTCCCTAATACAGCTGATTTTTAGGTCAACTGTTCAATTGATTGATCAAAAATGTGATCCAAGGCTTGAAACTTGACATGAGTAATCTTGAGGGTCCATAATGGTCCATGAAAGTCATATGAAGCATTGATAGTTCAAAAATTCTTGTGCAAATTCAAACCCTAATTTTGGTCATCAATGCCTAAGGAGGTGTCTTGAGCTGATCAAACCCTAGTGCAGTCTTGAGCCCAAGGAGATCTTGTGAGAAAATTCTTGACAAGTGAGAGGGAAAATTTTGGGGTACAACAACTGCCCCTGTTCAATCTTCTTAAGCCTGAAGAGTTAGATTGGCAAGCTTTGCCGTTCGTGACTCGAAGGTGGAAGATGATTGGACACTAGAGTGCCCAGAAATTTGCACTCGGCGATGTGATGGTTGAGGGAATGGGCTTAAAGATGCCATTTGGAGAGGTGATAGAAATTTATTAGAGATGGAATTGTAGATGCCATCCAAAAGTGATTGTTGAATCTGAAAGAGAACCTGAATGAGTATTAGAATGACGTTCGTGTCCGAAGCATATCTGAACTATATCTGAAAGTTGAATTTGAATGAGTATCAGAATGACATCCGTGTCTGGAGTGTATCTGTATTGTATCTGAGAAGGAATCTGAATTAGTATCAGAATGGCATCCGTGTCTGGAGCGTATCTGAACTGTATCTGAAAGTTGGATATGAATGAGTATCAGAATGGCATCCGTGTCTGGAGCGTATCTGAACTGTATCTGAAAACTTTGAACATTGTTAATGGTAGCTTTTAATCTTATCCTGAAAAGGGTAAAATGCTAGCTAAAACACAAAGTCATGTTGTATGAAATGTATGATATAATGCATTCGTTTTATCAATGTTTATGATATATGGATGCAATGTGTGCGTATGTGAGCTAGTCTATTGCACTGTTTGTTGGATTAGGGAAAATAAATCCCTGAATGTTATGGAGGATATGTAAGTCTTCATGTCTTGAAGTCGGAGTGTTGATGAATTTCTGTTTAGAGAAATAAACTCTATTGTAAGGGAAATGCCATGTACTGCTTGAAAAATTTGTTTGGGGAATTTGGGGAAATTGGATGATTTCTACCGGGGACTGATAATTGGAAGCTTTGTTCCACTGGGGATTAAATTGTACACTGCAGGGGATTTTTTTTGGAAAATAGCTTGGAGAGATTTCCCTATCTCTTAAAGCCATCAATAATTATCTTTTATTTTGTTTATTTGTAAACAATAATTATGTTCAAATGCATATGTTCAACAATGAATCATTGGACATTTTTGTAAACAAAACACAAGAGTAAAGAAAAAACAGATAGTTTTTCACTTTCAAAGGAATATCTTTGTATTGACTTTGAGTAAGTATTTTTATACAGTGAGACAAACATTCTAGTAAGAGAATGCTGTCATAAAAAATGAAAATTTTAATACAAAGAAAAGATAGCTATGTGTAATAATCCCATGGGGTTCCCATTCTGCTATAGCCTTTGTATCTCTGAGCATCTTGTCTATTTGTTGCCTTGTCATAAGATGATTGAATTGGTCAAAAATGTCGAGTTTGTAAGATGTTCGTAAGGTGATCTAACGGGACATAGTCATATGCTTTCAATTCCCTAACTTTTTCCTGGATCGCCCTTTCGGGTTTTCAGTCCACCGGGAAACCCTTTTTTGCCCAAGTCGCCCTTTCGGGTTTTCAACTTGCCGGGTGTACAGATTTTTTTTTATCCTTAATTTTTGCCCGAACCTTTTTGGTTCACTGGGATGCCCTTGTTTTTCCTAGGTATGTCAACCTAGCGGGTCTCTTATGCGGAGTATCTTTTGACTATGTCCGCGTTCGCAGGGTGCGGTAGGTCATCATCATCCATGGTGGTCAAGATCATTGCCCCACCAGAGAAAATATTTTTGATTACAAATGGTCCTTCGTATGTAGGAGTCCATTTTCCCCTAGGGTTACCTTGCGGCAGTATGATACGTTTGATCACCAGATCTCCAACTTGATACACTTAGTTTCTGACCTTTTTGTTGAAATCCTTGATCATTCGTTTTTGATACATTTGACCATGGCAAACAACAGTAAGCCTTTTCTCGTCAATCAAGTTTAGTTGATCAATTCGAGTATGGATCCAATCTTCTTCATTCAGCCCTGCATCCTTCATAATTCTCAAAGAGGGGATCTGAACCTCAATAGGCAAGACAACCTCCATGCCGTATACCAGAGAATAGGGTGTTGGATCGATTGATGTGCGAGATGTGGTACGATATCCGTGGAGAGATAATGGTAGCATCTCATGCCAGTCTTTATATGTGACTGTCATTTTCTGTATGATCTTTTTAATGTTCTTATTTGCGGCTTCAACAACACCATTCATCTTCGGACGGTAAGGGGAAGAATTTTGATTTTGGATCTTGAATTGCTCGCATAGGGCGGTGATCATAGTGTTGTTGAGATTTGTACCATTGTTAGTAATGATCCTCTCCGGGATACCGTACCGGCAAATGAGGCTCTGCTTGATGAACCGGGCAACAATATTTTTGGTAACGGAAGCGAAAGAAGCTGCCTCCAGCCACTTTATAAAATAGTCAATGGCCACTAAGATGAAGCGGTGTCCATTGGAGGTTGTTGGGTTGATTTCCCCTATCATATCAATCCCCCACATAGCAAAGGGCCAAGGAGCCGTCAAGACATTCAGAGGAACCAGAGGTATGTGCACTTTGTCAACATAGATCTGACACTTGTGGCAGGTTCGAGAGTGTTGATAGCAGTCTGCTTCCATGGTAGACCAGTAATAGCCTGCCCGTAGGATTTTCTTTGCCATCGTATGCCCACTGGAATGGGTGCCAAAAGTGCCTTCATGTAACTCGGCCATGATCCTTTCGGCTTCAACCTTGTCTACGCACCGAAGTAACACAGAGTCATGGTTGAGTTTGTAAAGAATGCCATTACTAAGGAAGAACTTAGCAGAGAATCTTTTTAAGAAATTCTTATCATTGACCGAAGCTCCTTCTGGATATTCTTGAGCCTCGAGATACCTCTTGACTTCGTGGAACCAAGGCTGGTCCACAACTTCTTCAGTATTAATCTCGTGATAGTGTGCTGGTTCATCCATTCGTTCAATGGTGATCTGAGGAGCCTCGTTATCCCAATTAAGTTTAAACATAGATG